TTTTGATCTGCACGATTTTGATATCTGTCTGATTCTGTTCTGGTTTCTGTACAGATTTGGTTTGAAGTGGTTGGTTTTGGATTCTGGAAGTTTTGATTGGAGGTTTGTCGCTTTGCTGAGCTGTTCAGCTCACCCTTGTTTTCTGCGTGGTTTTCAGGTTCTGGCAAAGGGAAGGAGGTCTTGGATTAGAGTTCTGAGTCTGATCAGTTATAGGTATTTTGTACTTTTTGATTTTTGTATAGTCATGGCTTTTCTTCTTTGTTCTTTCTGTCAGCCATATACTGTATTTGTAGATGATCGTTTTGAGGAAGAGAAAAATATAGATGATTTTTTCCGCTGCATTTGATGTTTCATAGTAGCTCTGTTCGTCTATTTTGAGTTGAAATATTTGAAAGAATCAGTTCCGAAGCAAATTCCAAAGCCAGATCCTGGTCTGTTTGTTTGGCTGGTCGCGGCCCGGTGCGGGCGGGATCCGTCCCGGTCGGGTCGGGTCGTGACACTGGGCAAGTGACTCCATTGATAGAAAATCCATAACTGGCTTCTGCATATTTCTCGGGAAAAGCCTAATATCTTGGTGTGTCAAAAAGCAAATCACAGTGGCTAAGTCCTCCACTGAGGCGGAATACAGAGCTCTCGCATCTGCCACTTCTGATATCATCTGGCTTCATCGTCTTCTATCTGATTTCCATATTCCGCAAACCACACCAACACTCCTACACTATGATAACACCTCTACTCTGGCTTTGGCTCTCAATCCGGTCTTCCATGCTCGCACCAAGCACATAGAAATTGATTATCAATTTATACGGCAGCACATCAACAACAAGGAAATTCAAATTCGGCACATCAGCTCCACCGATCAACCAGCCGACATCCTCACAAAACTGCTACTGGTCCAACGGTTTCAGGATCTAAGAACCAAATTAAACATTCTTTCCTCAAATGCTCAATTTGAGGGGGAATGTTAGACACTATATGTAGCGCGGTACAACATACCACAAATCAACATCACTTATGCTTTCCACTTCTCTGCCGTCTCCTGCTTATAACGGCCACGCCATCATGAGGCCACTACACCATGTGCACACAAGCACATCTCTTCTATATATACACAAACAGTGTACCACGCTTATACTAAGATGATATGAGAAATGCATTTCCTTACACAGAGCTTTCCCTGCTTTCTTCTTCTTTCTCTTTGCATTTTCTTACTGTATTGCAGGTCCTCTCAAATACTACTATGTTGATTATCCATTCATCTCCTTTCCTTCTATTATTTAACAATACTTTTTTTCTTTGCTAGTTAACCAGAAATTAATTGATTTGTTTAATTAGTTTTCCTAAACTTCCAATGAATAACTTGTCAACTCAAATTTATTATATTTAATATATGACTTTTTCATGCAACAATGATATGCATAAACATAAATGATTATTATAAATGCTGTTTATTTTTACTTATATCGTTATTAGTGATCAACCCAAAATTCAAAAACATAGTTAAAATTGGCTCAGCTCAAATTAATTATTTTTAAACCCTAAACTTGAAAATTAATTCACCGCATTTAGATGGAGGTGATGCTTCTCTCTCTATCAATGGCACCATTAGTAGTGCAGATAGATCATTTATATCCAGTTAACTGAGTATGAGTCGACAAGTCTCCTTGATCTCCACTTGTTGTGAATGGTTAAAATTTTAAGTTTTTTCTCAGTTTATTAGTTCTGAGGATAATAATATTTGATGTTTGGAAAGAGGGAGACCTTTAGGGGCTGTTTGGTAACAGGATTTAGGTCGGATTTGAGGCGGATCTAAGTGAAATCCAGCCAAATGGCCTAAAATGCAAAACCAAATCTCACAACAAATGAAAGCTGTCGTAGACGGAAAATTCTGTCTTTTCGTGCTAAATCTCGGATTTCCGAAATCCAGTTTTTTGACGGATTTATGAAATCAGTTGGCTCGAGAGGAAGAGTCCGCTCTTTAAATCCACTCTATAGCCAAACATTCACACGAGATTTAATAGGATTTATTTCGAATGTTACCAAATAATTTTCAAGATTTAGGCCCCTTATGATTTCCGAAATCCAGATTTAGAGGATTTATAAAACCCTATTTAAATCAAATCCTTAGAGCTACCAAACAGCCCTTAACGTTTGAAGGGGAATAGATTTTGAGATGGTGCAATATATAGTTGAAAGCTTTCCATCCAAATCTCATCTATCTCTAATTTATAGAGCTTAATTAGGAGCAAAGAGGAATAGCGATCTCCACTCTTGCAAATTTGGCCACTCTTTGAGGTAGAGTTAAACAAAGAAACAACAGCCTCTGCAGCAGCATGAAACTATATCTTCAATGTTCTCAATTTCTTAATATAAAGCAGCTCTAATGACGGAAAAACACAATCATCATCATATCATGATGTGTGCATGTACTTGAGGAAAGGAAGCTGCCTAAAAAGTATTAAGTGTTTGCTACTGCAAGTATTTAACATTTTAGATTTTAGGGTTTAGAGTTTAAGGTTTAGGATCTGATTGTTGAATATGAAATATATCTAAAGTTTGAACCATTTTTTTTTTCACAATAAAATAAAATTACATAATTGTCAACAATAACATCTAAATATTTATATTGTTATATATATATTAAATTAATATTAAAATCACATTAAATATATAACAAATATTAATTTATTTAAAAATGCACTTTTTCATACCTATATTTTAATATAATCACAGTACTAAAATATTATATAAATGAATATAAAATATCATATCTTAAAAAAATATTGATATATATATAAACATATTATAAGTAATTTTTTAAAATATTAAGTAAATTTATCACAAATTCATATACATACTAGTATATAAACTTTTAAGCTAAATTTCTCAATTAATAAGGCACTAATTTAAGTCATGCAGGAAAATGACGGCGCTATGGTTCGCTTTCGCTTGGTGTTCGACGATCGTCATCTCCTCGATAAGTCGCAGCGTTCCCAGGGACTTCGCCGCTGCTGGTTTCGTCTTAAGCCCGACATGAAAAACATTGGCGAGCTAGCATCCCAAATCCGCGAGTGCTTTGGCATCCGTCATCGCATTGTACTTTTTGTGAGTCTCTGCCTGATTTCTGTTTTCTTTATTTTATAAAAAGAGGAATGCGCTCTAATTTGCACCTGAAGCAACTATCAAAGTTGTTTTTTTTCCAAGGTAGATACGAAAATGGGACATTTTTAACTTATATGGTAAGTTTTTTTGGGCGAAAGGTTTGTCAAGATGGATTTTGAGCGAACTTTTGCCCGCAGTCATTTCCTTTAGCGGACTTACTTTTGTTTTTGGTTTGCAATTACTTAGAGAGGTTTCTCCATGTCGTTGTCAAGTTAGATGTGAAAACATGTATTGTAAGTTCATTTTTGTGATAATGTTGGCTCAAGATAGAAAGCTCGAAGAACTTCCATGCACCCAGTTTTGGGTGTTATATATGTAAATATCATGAAATAAAGTGGTATGCATGTAAATCACCTTTTTTGGGTTTCTTTCTTTTGTATGCTTTCATTTGTTTATTGGATACCGTTGTCCTCTTTGTAAGAATCTGCCTGATTTTTGTTCTTTCTTCTCTAGTATTGTACTTTTGGTACTTCTATGTGTGGCGAATTAGAGCGCATTGCTCTTTTAACGGAAGTTCCTGCATGATTTATCAAAGTATATGTGAAAAGAACACTTTTTTAAGTTATTGTTAGTTGAATTGTGGGTTGATGAAAAGAATGGGACTGTTTGCTTGCGAAAGTTGTGAGGTGGTTAGCTCAAAAATGGATTTTGAGTTAAGGAGGTTTTTTATTTTCATGTTAGGGTGGAAGGTCGACTCCCCTAGTCGGTGAAAGTGTGAGTGAAAAAATATGAATTGGATTGTTGACCCTTTGGGCCAGCAAATTTTTTCCCAAACATTGTTCTTCATGGAAGTTTTATAATTTTCCATGATCTCACCATTTCTATTTATTTTTGCGGTAATTTAGACTTATTAAGAAACATGTGTAATACAAGTGCTTAAATATTTTTGCAATATCTATTGAATGTTATAGGATTATAATTCTACCAGTTTATGGGTTGTTAGTTGAGCTTAATATTCATCTCTATGCTGTTGATATATATATATATATATATATAATTTATATTGTCTTAGAGCACTTTATTTGAAGGCTTGTTGTATTTTTGTGGGCTTCTATCACATTTTTGCCGAGATAAATATTTTGTGACTGACTTAATATATGAGGCTTATTCACACTCATCAATGATTGTCCTACTTTGGTCTTATTTAATAGATGGATGATTTTGTATTACCATCCTTCGAATCAACGTGCATCATCACGGATACAGATATAATCAGGTGAGTTTTTTCCTTTCTCATAGTATTCTTTTCACTAGAAATATTTTTTTCACTTAAAGCTTTAAGTAGCTAAAAGTTTAATATTGGCATTTGATCAACAACGAGTAAATTTTCTTTGCTTTGTTGATCATAGTGGAATTTTAGTATATGTTGTTTTAGTGCATTTCAATATATTATTGGTGGCTTGAAATTGCAACCCCCAAAAGTTTCTTTGTTGGTGTCAGTTTGACAAAATTTTCATCTTATATTTATGATGGACCGGCGGTTGAGCTGGTGGGCCCCACTAGGGTGGGCGGCGGGTAGGAAGAGAGGGAGAATTGTTTAGGAAAGTTTTAATTACAATTGGGAGGAAATTAGTTAGGGAAAGAAATCTAATCTGAATTCAAATCTGAGAGGGAGTTATTTGGGGAAAGCATAGGGAAGTTAATATTCATTATGTAAGGAGGAAGTTAATATTCATTATGTAAGGAGGAATCAAGTGGGAATTGTTTAGGAAAGTTTTAATTATAATTTGAAGGGAATTAATTAGGCAAAGAAATCTAATTTGAATTTAAATATGAGAGGGAATTATTTAGGGAAAATGGGGCTGATTTGGGAGGAAATTATGGGAGCCCATTTAAAGCTAACTATGGGGTGATTTCATATTATGCTTGTCTTTAGCCGATGACTAGGGATTTGGGAAAGTTGGATCTTCCTCTCCAATTGAAGAGGAAGATCCAACTGTATCTTACATTTTTTTTCTTAGTTCTTTCAATAAAAAAGAGTTATTTTGTGTTCTTCTTCCTAAATTTCTTGTATCATTCTCTGATTTTGCTGAAATTGCATCCACTTTCTATCAAATTGGCATCAGAGCATAGATTTGGATACCTATGACAAGAAGAAAGATAGAAGTGTTGGAAGGGGAGATTAGACAATTAAAATATGAAATTTCAGATTTCAAAGTCAAATTTCAGCCGTCCATGAGAAGATCGATTAGAAGTTTGCTATCACGAAGGAGATGATGAGGAAAATGCTCGAGGTTCAAACCAAAATGACTTCGTCAGTGAAGGAAATCCTAATCAGATAAGGAGAGTGGACGATCAGATGATGAAAATGTTGGGAGAAGAAGAGGAGATGCAACCTTTGGAGCCACTTTCAAAGAGGGGAAAGAGTGAAAGAGTGAGATTTTTGGTGGAGCTGCAAAGTTTGTAAGGAGAAAAAGGTGGGGAGAAGATAGAAGCAATAAACATGGTTCAACCACCCCTACAACAATATTGAGGGGTGTTCCAGCTAGTTCAGGAGTTGCCTCCTCTGCGGGAAAGCGAGCATGCTATCATCTTGAAGGAAGGAGTTACCTATCAGTGTTTATCTGTACCGTCATCCCCAAATCCAAAACAAAGAGATTGAGAGATTGATCAGGGAGATGCTCGAGGCAGGGATTGTTCGATCCAGTGTAAGTCCATTGCTATTAGTCCAGTGCTTCAGCAACAGCTTCCTTTGTTCAACTTTGAGGACATGGTAGCTTTTTGGGAGGGGAGTATTGATGAACCGACGTCTGAGCTGGTGGGCCCCACTAAGGTTGGCAGCAGGCAAGAGGTGAGAGGGGGAATTGTTTTGTAAAGTTTTAATTACAATTGAGAGGTAATTAATTAGGGAAAGAAATTTAATTTGAATTCAAATTTAAGAGGGATTTATTTAGGAAAAGTCCAGGCTTGTTAATATTCATTATGTAAGGAGGAATCAAGGGGGAATTGTTTAGGAAAGTTTTAATTACAATTGGGAGGGAATTAATTAGGGAAAGCAATTTTATTTGAATTCATATATGAGAGGATATTATTTAGAGAAATGGGGCTTATTTGGGAGGAAATTATGAGAGCCTATTTAAAGCTAATTATGGGGTGATTTCAGATTATGCTTGATTTTCTTGGAATTAGTTTTTCTTTGGTTAAGTGGGCTCTAGTCGATGGCTAGGGATTTGGGAGAGCCAGATCTTCCTCTCCAATTTAAGATCCAACTGTCTTATATTTTACTTCTTAATTCTTTCAATAAAAAAGAGTTATTTGTGTGTTCTTACTCCTAAATTTATTGTGTCGTTCTCTGGTTTTGCTGAAATTGCACCCACTTCCTATCAATTTATTTACTAGATCAATTCTTTTTTGGATTTTAGAAAAAGGCGTCTGTAATCCAAGAGCTATATTAGTCAATAATTTGCCTTTGGATTGGATGTATTGCATTCAGATTGGATTGGCTCCAATTCAAATCCAACTCCAAAATATGTTGGATTTGGTCAAATCTGACCTATAAATGATCTGAAAACCAAGATGACTTGCATATCATGTTATATACAAAAATTTGACCTGACTATTTTCTTATAATTTCTCCACCCGTATTTTTATTGATTACATTCTGAGTCATGGTCCTAAGCATAATATTGTTGCAGTGGTGGCATATGGTTATGTAATTGCATTATAAAATGAGATGTGGCTTTAGTGATAACACAACTTTTTCTTGTAGTGGTGGCATATGGTTATGTAATTACTTGTCATCTTTAATAGGAACCTGGATGAAATTGATCAAAACATATGAAGTTAATATCCTCTTATTGGTTTCTTCTATATTTTACTCTTCTTCTACCATTGGATTAAGATTCCCTATTACCTCAACATGTTTCATCAACTAGTGTTTGATTAACCATTTTTTCCTCACATAATGGTGGTATTCGTCCATTTATTCTGTCTTGGTAGTATGAAATCAAATGAATCAGGGGTATTTAAACATGCATATTATTAAACATCAACATAATAAGGGTAATGGTTATTTCTATTTGCATTATGATGAATTAAATACAAATAAAAAAAGAATCATTTTATAAAACTTCTGAGCCAAATAAATGGAAGCATAAAGATTGATTTACATGCTAAACAATTACTCTATATACTTTTATATTGCTATATTATTCACATAATATCATAATTATCATGCATTATCGAATGCACTTAGAAGCCCTAAATATATTGCATTTGAAATACCAATGAGCAGTATCATAATTGTGCCAATTGTTTGAAATTTTTGCTAGTTTAGTGGATTGGAATTCTTGCTAGTTGTGTTGTCAATCTTTGATGGTGATGATTTGACTGATCTCTAAGAAATTGTAATTATAACATGATAATCACAAAGAAATATATAAAAAATATTTATAAGTTGATTGAATCCCAAAGGGCATGAGGGATAATCTTATATTATTGAGCAGTATCATCGTAGCTTTTAGTCTCTATGTCTAGTTTGCTATTTTTTTCTTTTAAATCAACACTGAGAAGGACTGCGTAGGAGAGCCAAGGGCTTCTTGACTTGTGGGGTGGACTGGGAGTAGGATGTTGTCTAGTTGTGAAGGGAAGAGTTCTGCTTTTTTGACGTGCCCAAGGAGGGATCCTTTATGTGAACTCCTATGACAGGTTTGCGAAGACATTGTTGAAGTGAATTGTGAGAGCTTCTCTATAGCATTTTTGTGTGAGGATGCTATGTTTAAAGATGAAAAATTGGTGAAGAATCTGAGACGCGGGTGCGAAATTCTACTTTCGATGTTGAACTATCATTGTTAGAGCTCGACGTTGAAATTTGTGAAGCTAACTGTGCAAAACTTGGAAGAGGGGCATCTTTTTATATTCAGAGAGGTGATATATCTTATTTCAAGTTTATGTGCATACTTTAATTTAAAATAAAATTTAGAAAAATGTATTTGGATTTGCTGCCTTCTCTTGCGGGTTACCAAAATGGAATAGCTTTATTGGAGCTATTGGAACACAATAATTAACTATAGCAATTTCACATTTAATATTGTTGGCGATGCTACTTGTGGAAGATTGTAAGTGAGATCACATTTAATATGACGTTAGATGCATGGTGATAAGGGTTAGTAGGTGGTTGTTGATGTATGGAGCGAACAACATTGGTGCTTTGGTTTTAGTTTGCGAAGAAGGCTTAGAATTAGGGGTATGTAGATGTTTTGGAGAAGTAATGAGGGTGACAGATTGTAACAATTGTAGATGCTTGCATCTGTGTGGGCAAAACAGTGTGAGTTGTGTGGAACTTTTACTGAGGAGCATTGTGCAAGTAATGCAATGAGTGGCATTTCATGATTAAGTTTGGTGCGAAAGGAGAGTCTATATGAGGAAGATGTTGTGCTTCTGCATTGAACGAGCTTGAAATGAACATGTGTTCAGTGCATATGGAGTGCAGGCTGTGTTGGATTAGCTATCTTGAGGTGGAGAGATTATTAGGTGCGGAGTGCAGACGGGGAGAACCGTCGGCACAAGCATTGGTTACCTAGCGGTACTCGCACTCGATACCGCTGGGTACCGCTGGGTACCGCTAGGTACCCAGTACTTGTGCGGACAGTGCGCTCTCCGTACCTAATAATTTTTCCTTGAGGTGGGGAATAATTTGTGGGTGCTAGAGGAGTCATGTGTGGGGATGCGACACTAAGACTTTCACGGGAATCAAGAACTCAAGTGTGAGGAAACACGATTGTTGATGTGAAACCATGCACGCAAATAAGAACTGCTTAGGAATTTTAATAATCAATTACTAAAGCTTTGCTAGTGATAGACTTCTTGTTCTCTCAAATTAGGCTTGTAGAATTATCAAGTAGAAATTATGTAAGGCATGCG